TCTTCTGATCGAAAACGAGCCCAACCACCCCACCTGGTGGTGTAAAACGGAGATGATGGTGTGAAATGATGGCAGCAGCGGCGGTGATATAACAGTGAAAGAAAGTAGCAGTCGTATGGAAGGCGGCAGCTGGAGTAGGCGTCGGAACTGCAACAGCAAAACATCAGGACAAACAGCCATTGCTCGTCGTCGCCGGCAACGGAACAGCAGCATCATTGGCGCCATCGGCTGGAGATAGCGGCGGTAGTGGCGCTTATCGACTTATTTCTCTTCGTCTCTGCATGAACGATGTCCTCTCACGCCGGTCTTCGATGCTGCCAGTGACAAGAGCTGCTTGATGGTGCAAGGTGGTCGGAGGACGGATGGGTGAATGGTGGCGGCGGCGGCGGAGACAAGGAAGGGGTGACGGCTACAGTACTCGATTAGGGTTAGGGTTATGGAGGGATCGACGGGTTATATACCCAGCTCCTACATACTTATTGTCATAATGGCAAAAATGGTCCCTCCCTCCAGAATTTATTTCGAAATAAATCCCATATTTACCCTTTAAACCCCTCCTTCAGAAAACCCTTACAAATTAAGTCTGAAATTTACCTTTTTAACCCAGCCTCCTGAAATCCTTTACAAATTAAGTCTAATACTTACCAAATAGCCCCTTAGCCTCTAAAATCTTTTCAAAATAAATCCCAAAATTACTTTTTAACCCCCGAATAATCTTATTTATAACATTTGGCTCCCCAAAACCAACACCCCACTAAATAATATGGATTTAGGGCGACTATTCGTTCATCAATTTTATCTATTTATTTATTTAATAAACAGGATGTTACAACTCAACCCACTTAAATTAGATTTCGTCCTCGAAATCATCCCTTACCATCCCTTACATGCCCGACAACTTGGACGACATGGTCACAACCACAAGCATACTATAGCCTCTCCAAGGCAACCCAAACCGACCCCGCAGGGTTCTAAAACCCGAAGATGAATGAATTCCTTGCAGCATGGTCGCCTCTACTCCATATGAGATCTGTAGTCTCGAGATGGTCCGCCTCCTTGACGAATCGCCCATATCGAATCATTGTCGAGTTCACTGCACTGGTCTCCTAATTGGCTGTTCAACTTCTGACATTATTTAGTCCAACTGTAACCAACTTAATATATGCCCCGAATGACAAGCAATTCCACACACGGATCCCAAGTCACTAAATCTCTCCAACTCATCTTATTGCCACTTGCTGCTTTTCAAAAGTAGTCGAGACCTCTCTGATACCAACTTGTAACGACCCAAAAATTGAGGGTAAAATTTCATTTTTAATATAGACAAAACATAGATATCATTTATGCCAACATCCAAAACATCATTAATCAAAACATTTATCAGAGTTCACCCCAAAATCATTCAATGCGGAAAACATGGGTGTGTGCACTGCGATCAATCCGAGCCCTTCTTTTCCAAAATCGATGATACCTGAAACCAATAAACAAAACTGTAAGCACGAAGCTTAGTGAGTTCCCCAGAGCATACCCCACACAGTCCACATAATCACATAATTCATATTATCTATAAAAGCTACATAAACCGTATCAATCACATATCTATATCAATCACATAGCCATGCATATAAACATATACGGATGTCATGGGCTCGTCTCCAGGGTCTTACTCCAGGATGCCATGGGCTCCCCACATGGATTTCCTATTAAAGACCATGGGAGAGCCCATGGCACTTAGGTGTAATACCATGTGGGGAGCCCATGGCATACTGGAGTAAGACCCTGGGGACGAGCCCACGGCATCCGTATATGTTTATATGCATGGCTATGTGATTGATATAGATATGTGATTGATACGGTTTATGTAGCTTTTATAGATAATATGAATTATGTGATTATGTGGACTGTGTGGGGTATGCTCTGGGGAACTCACTAAGCTTCGTGCTTACAGTTTTGTTTATTGGTTTCAGGTATCATCGATTTGGAAAAGAAGGGCTCGGATTGATCGCAGTGCACACACCCATGTTTTCCGTATTGAATGATTTTGGGATGAACTCTAATAAATGTTTTTGGTTAACGATGTTTTGAATGTTGGCATAAATGATATCTATGTTTTGTCTATATTAAAAATGAAATTTTTACCCTCGATTTTTGGGTCATTACATGACGTTACGTTTCCGACCGGCCGCCACCAGCTGCCATTCTTTCCATCGCCACCAGCCACCGTGGAAGGTGGTTGTTTGTGTGTTTTTGCTATGTATTTAGGTGTGTGTGTGTATTGCTACTGTATTTCATTAATTGTGTGTGGGGTTATGTAATCAGGAATCAAAAGTGAGCCATCACCGCCACCGTGAGGTGGTGGCTGCCACCTCCAACCATCGCCTGCCGCCACAAGGGTGGTTAGGTGCATGTGTAAGTGTTATTGTGTGTGTATGTTTGTTTGGTTATCTTGTTGTAACATTGTATTTGATCGGAATAATTAAGGAAAATCCGTCACCACCACCGTTAGGTGGTGGCCACCGCCGTGAGTCGCCGTTGACTACCACTACCCGAGGTGGTAGTGGGTGGTACCCGACTAACGAAACCCTAATGGGCCCAATGAAGCCCTAATTGACCTAAAAGCCCAACCTTTTGACTAATGGGCTAGTATTGGGTTGGAAACACTAATTAGGGTTTGGAAAACCCTAATGTCATGAAACCCTAATTTTGGGGATTGATCGGGACCCGCACTGGAATTATTTAATAAACTTAAAATATTAATTAATAATTATTGGCAAATTAACCTAAGGAAATATTGGAATTAATGGATTAAGTCCTTAATGGGTTAAGTAGGAACACTTAACCCTAATCGTCATTTCATGTGAAAACTCTAATTTCACTTGGGCCTTGAGTTGGGCCTTTCTTTTAGGCTTTGGTGATTGGGTCATTGATGGCCCATCCAAAAACAAGAATATGGATTAGAATATTTAGATGGGCTTTAGAATAAGGTCCATTGGAAATGCTTGGGCCCAATTTGGAAAATTGGGCCTAGATGGGCCATAATCGGATCTTGATGATTATGAGATATTGGGCCATTAGAGTACCAAGAGTTTAGACTAGAATAAATGGATGGGCCTTAAGGTAAGACCATGTAGAGGTCTGGGACCAATTTGGAAAATTGGGCCATATGATGGGCTTTAGCCCATTACTTGACTATTGGGCCTTTGGAGTGTGAGTTGGACCATGGGCTTGGAACCCAATTATTAATTGGGTATTGTTTGATGTTGGCAGTTTGGGAATCTGTCAACCAGCAGCATGAGTTTTATCCGCGGGACTTCAGCAATGCCAAGTGAGTTATCCTCACTATACTAAGGGGTCTAAGGCACCAAGGCCGGCCCATTGGATTTGATATCCTAGTAGTTATTGATATGTTGAGTATGAGTTAGTTATGCATGATAGTTTGATATGCTAGTTGGTAGGTCTTTACGACTACCTGTGATATTATGTGATTATCTGTATGTGTACTTATCTGTTATATGTCAACATGTTATGTTGTGTGGTTGGGTTGAGGTCGCATTGCTCCGTGTAGTGGCCAACAAACCCTGGAGTATGCCAGATATTAGCTGAGGGCCAGGGAGGTCATACCAGACTCATACTGAGGACTCATATGCATTCCAGATACGAGTTGAGGGCCGAGCAGAGCATACCAGACTCGTACTGAGGTCTAATCAATTGTATTTCAGTCGACATGTTGTGTGGTTGGGTTGTGGTTGCACTGCTCCGTGCGGTGGCCAACAAACCCCGAAGTATGCCAGATATGAGCTGAGGGCCGGGGTGGGAATTCCAGACTCATACTGAGGACTCACATGCATTCCAGATATGAGCTGAGGGTCGGGTAGGGCATGCCAGATTCGTACTGAGGGCTACTTATTATATTCCAGTCCGAGGACAGAAGGAGCAAGCCAGACATAAGCTGTGGGCCGAGGGTAATCCAGACTTATGTTGTGGGCTCGAGAGCAAACCATATATGTGCTGAGGGTCGGGGTGGGCATACCAGTCTCATAATGTGGGCTCAGGGGTAATCCAGTCTGTGTAGTTGTGGACTCATGGCATGCTGTTGTTACATTTATTATTATATATGTGCTATGTGTTATGTATCGGTATATTGGGGGTAACTCACTAAGCCTTTGAGCTTACATTTATCGATTATTGTTTCAGGTACCTCAGATGATTGCGGGAAGGCAAAGGCATGATCGTACAGCTCTTCACTTTTCACTACTAGAAAAACAGCCTTTTACGACGCGCAATGTGTGTCGTAAAACGCTCAGACGACGCGCAAATGTGTGTTAAGGAAGGCCCTGTCATAACGAGAGACGACAAGCTTTTGCGCGTCGTCTATTTACGACGCGCATTTATGAAACGCATTTACGGCGTGCAGTTATGACACACAATGCGTATCAAGGAAGGCCCTGTCATAAAGTAAGACGACACGTATTTGCATGTCGTAACCTTACGACGTGCGTGTTTATGACACGCAATGCGTATCAAGTAAGCCCCTGTTATAAATGAAGATGACACGCATTTGCGTGTCATAAACTTCAGTAACCATTTACGATATGCATTTACGACGCGTCTTTACAATACCCATTTACGCATAATACAAAATATGTAAACAAATATATACCAAAACAATCAATTTCATCCAATAACATCATGTCAAAAAACTGTAATACATTGATATTAAGGGGATCTAATTGTACATTGTTAGTAAGACGTTTTCCCTAACTATATAACCTAATACTACATTGCTATTAAGGGACACCTTCTGCAATGTAATGTTATACAAACTAAAAAGATATACACAAAGATGATAAACATCAAATTGCAACTAAGTAGAGTTGCATCTTGCCTTTCATATAAAAGGGTTCTTACATTCCATTACAAAATCTATCCCCTTACCTTAAGAGATGGTTTAAGTAAAAAATAACATACCAAAACAAAAAGGAAGGGGGGTTCTTAACAAGTCAATTGAAACTCAGACATCCAAAGCCAACATTGATTTTGAAGCATATGAGGTTCATAGAGAATGATGTTGAGCTCAGCCAAATGTCGCAATCAGAAAGCCTTTGTAAATGCTCATGAACTTGGCCACATGAAAATGCTGCAAATCACAAGTCAGAAATAAAACATCAATCTTTTTACTTGAAAGTTGTAACATTTCCTTTTTCTAGAAGTTCTAGGATGGAAGTTACATATTTACCCCTTATCATCGTTGTAAATAAGTAAATAAACTAAACTTAATTGATTTAGATCCAAAAGGTTGCTTTACTTTAACTTTACTAAAGAGTATTTTAGGTATTTGAAAAAAGTTAGTACAATAATATTGAGCTATATCCAAGTCAAAAGCCACAATTTATGAAAAAGATATAAATCCATGAAAACAAAACATAACTTAAAAAAGAGTTTCAACCAAAAGCTACTTCCCATTTCTTATTATAAACACAAACAACCCTCATGAGCTATGACATCATGGAGATACAAAAGATAGAAGCTTAATCAATGCACGAATTCAGTCTACTGCATGCATGGTTAATAGCAATCGCTATAAATTATTATCAAACCCAAAAGAGATTAGAAAAAAGTACCTTCAATGTGAAATATGGCTTTCTGTCCAAGGCACATCCTATGTTCCTAAAAAAGAAAAAGAAATATCAATACTAGAAGAATAATGGTTTAAAAAAAACCCTTTAATGGGACAACAGCATGAACAGTGAACTCACATAATATGCTGCCCAATGACATACCTCATGCTTCAATTCAGAATCAAACATGGAATTTGGAATAAATACACTTCAATATGAATTACCTGATATCAACAATGACAAGAATATCCCCATACAAATGGTAAATATTACCTGCAGGTCAGCGTGTCATATAGAAAATTACTTACAAGTTACAAGTAAAGCATATCACTTATAGCCCTATATGCTTTAAATATGCCAGAAAAAAGTCATTAATCTATACACAATCAAGAAAACTGGCAACCGCCATATAATTGTCATTCATGATGTTTATCCAATTACATGTAACTGTTTGTATATATACATAACTTTGTTACTAATTGTAGATTCTCACAAAAGCTGAAACAAACAAGCCTAACACAAAATTTTCCAATTTTTTGTTGTAACTTTGAGATTTTTTTCAATTACATGTAACTGTTTGTATATATAAAGAACTTAAGTTTTTTTAAGATTTTTTCTAATCTTTTTATGCCAAAAATCATTGATTTCATTCCTTATTTGCGGTCAGTAATAGGTTTTTTATTTGACCATGGTTTGTATAGGCTTACATTATTTTCGAAGTCACATTTTATTTGCATGTATAATTTTTGCAAATTATCTTTATCATTTAATTTATTTTCTTTTCCTTTTGTTTGTATAGGCTTCCCGAACATAAAGTAAAGTCGACCTGGTAGTTTTGTTAAACATACAGGAATATGAAATGGTTGCTTTGCAATCTCTAGTATCAAAGAAAATAGAACTATTAGTATTCATCAATTTAACGAGTAAAGTGATAATCACAAATATCATGATATTGCCAAATAAATTTACCTCAGGTTTATTATCCCTTCATTGAATTCATTCATCAATTGATCAAGGAAAGGGATTCTTTTCATATCATTGTAATCGATGATTAGCTGGAAACAAAATACATTAACAATATTAAGTAGTGAGGATTAACATGAAATAAGTTAATAATGATAATGAAACTGAAAGCTAGTTTGAAGGAAAGTTGGGTTAACTGTCCAAACAAGGATACATCAATAAAAATAAAGTTGGAAAGCAAATGTCATCATAACTTGGATCAGGACCTTTTATCTATTTGACAGAATGGACTTCTTTATGATCTGCATCCAAGATTTAAAACGTAATAACTATATATATATATATATATAGATATATATATATATATATATATATATATATATATATATATATATATATATATATAGGAATGAAATTAAGAAGAGTTAAGAATCTTACAGCTTTCTTAAATGCATGAAAAGCTGCTTCAGGTAGGTAACCATATGTTGTTCCATTGTCTATAACTCTTCCAACACTTCCATTAAAAACATTCTAACTCAAAGACAACCGCTTTCCAGCAACATGTAACTCCTTCAGATCTATATTGTAAAATGGAAGAACTACTAACTTTGTGCCATTGGAATCTCGTGGTACCACTATTATTGGAGTCTCTAATGAGAGGTCCAACTTCATTGCAGCAGCTCCATCCATCTCATACTTCTTAATCAACCATTCAAACCCTCCAACTTTATCAACAAACTTGATCGCTTCTTCTGAAACTAGAGGCACCAGTGCCACAAGATATGTAAGGAGATGCAACATGAATTAACTTCATTTTAGTAATAAAATACGTACATATAGACAACACACAGTGAGTTTACTTGGTCATTCAATTGGAATGAAGAGAAAGAAATTCAAAACTAACGTCTTGAATGAACCTGTTGAGGAAAACAATACGAATGGAAGAAAGTTTGCCACTCAAGCTAAAGTTATATCCTTCATAGTCATCATCTTTAGGACTGTAGGACTCAAATGAGAATTGATATATACACACCTATAAAGAAAGATAGATTAGGGCAAAGTAAATAATAAGTAAACCTTTATACATATAACATTAACTATAAAAAATGTACCTGGATAAGAGATTCAGCTCCTTGATTACGTATATCAAAAATCCATCCCCAAACATGATCCGTACCTAGTGAACAATCACACAGCCTGAAATTTACTAATGTACCTTCAACTGATATAGAACCAGGGCGAACATGTATAATAAAGTGTTTAGATATGTACCAAAATAGTGAGAAAAAAAGAAGAAGATAAAGAGAAGGATGGTAGTTCTTGACCTTAAGACCCAACATGAATCTTTCTTGCACAATCATTGCAAGTTGAGATCCATCCTCCTTGTTAAGATACACAATGACACTGTCAATATTCATTGCCATGGAAAATACAGTTCGGGATTTCCCATGTCCCAATAAACCCTTGACTTTTGCTTGCTCATTTTCTTCAGCTTTGTCTTTTTGCACTGAAGTTGCATCCTCTTCCTCTGATGGAGCAGGACCACTTGTCCCACTACTTGCAGTGCCCATATCAATGCCCAAATCAATTAAAGCAACAATAGTAGGGCGGTGGCAGAAAAATTCAAATCTTGACATGCTGATACTCATCTATAAATATACAAAAGAACAAAAAAAAATTAAAAATCATCATAGTATGTTGACTTATATTACATTCATAGATCAAAACTGTGTTGACTTATATTACAACAATCACAAACTACATGCAGAAAAAGTGATCATCTTTTTAATTTACAAACCTTTCCTCCAGCAGCAAGAATCTCAAGAAACGGAGTCACCACAACTTTATGCCCCTCTGTAGGTTGCTTGTATAAGTCCTCTAATCCAACTTGCTTTCTCCTTCTCGTTCTGGAACTTTACAACCAACGTACTGGAATACTCTAAAGTCTTAAAAAAGTGCCACAATATCACCAAAAATATATAAGTTAGCACCATCATTAGCCATAAGGCATTGAGAAGGTGATATTGCTCTTTAACTCTATACTCTGTAGGAAAGAAAGAAAAAGTTCTAAGCACACATCATTTACCTTTTGGATGTCCATGCCTCTTTTATACACAGCAATACAAGAAGAAGAGCCACCAAGACTGTCGGGAGGTACTTCATAGACTTGCTTACCAGCCATACTGCATCATTTTTCAGCCAAACAAACATAAGTTACATCCTTATTTGACTAAAAAAACTAAAAAGAGCAGCAACAATACTTAAAAAATTGAAGGGGGAGAACTATGTGCACCTGGTGCACCGCTGATAGTTGGTGGATGTCTGAGACTCCAACTGATAAAGATACAATCCAGCCAAAGCAAGATGTGAGGGCTGCCATGAACCAACTGAATAGCCAATCCCCTGAACCAAACAAAATTTTATTTAAGAAATGAAGAAAAAGGGATTTAACAAGAATCAGAAGTTTGTTCCTTCGATCATAAATCAAATGGAGAAAAACTAAGCCGGGAAGAAAAAGGGTTTTAGCAAGATAGCGTTCGGATAGAAGAACGAAAACATTAGAAAGAGAAAATAAACCAGAACACACCTTAATAAGACACATGGCTTGTAACTTTGAGCAATAGAAGAAGTAAGCCTAAGGCTGCCGGACCTGATGTTGCCGGTAAGGGGAGGCGAGGTGAGATCTTCATTCATGATCAGGCATAGGTTGCATATGTTGAATAGGGTTATGAGTTGTTGGAGGTGTATAGAAGAGATGGTATCGTGATTAGGGTTTGAAAAGAGAAGGAAGAAGAGAATGAAGGGAATCTTGAAGTGTGGTATTAAAAAATTTAAGAATTTTTAGTGGATTTCATTTCCCCCTTTCAAGAACGCGCGTTTTGAGTAAAACATAAAGCGACATTCACAGAGGACGCACATTTTAGATAAAGTTCCCTCCGTGTTTTTATTTTTTTTACATGAGACACTAATTTAAGGGCACACAATAATACGTGACCTAAATCCTTAAATTTTTTAAAGAGACGACACTTTTTTAATGTCACTCTCTTTTGCGTAACATAAATCAATGAGTGTCATGGTTTGTGCATCGTAAAAGGGTCTTTTTCTTGTAGTGTTTTATGATTTTGTTTCTGGGATACTCTGATATTAAACTATTTTGAAAACATTTTGTAATAACTAATGGCTTTTGAATGTTTGAAAAAGTTTTAAATTGGCTTAAATTTTATGGATGTTACAATGCTTGTGGCATTGTCGTCTAGGACATGTCAAAAAGAATCACATAGCCCAACTCCAAAAGGATGGAGTGTTGGAGTCATTTGACCTAAAGTCAGATGACATGTGCGAGTCTTGTTTGCTTGGAAAGATGACTAAATCACCTTTCACTGGTACTTGTGAAAAAAGTGAGGGATTGTTGGATCTCATACACACAGATGTGTGTGGACCCTTCAGATCCACCACAAGGGATGCAAACCACTTCTATGTGACTTTTACTAATGATTATAGCAGATATGGATATATCTACTTATTCAAGCATAAGTCAGAAACCTTTGAAAAATTCAAAGAGTTTAAGCAAGAAGTGGAGAATCAATTGGGCAGGAAGATAAAGATGCTCAGATCCGATCTGGGTGGTGAGTATCTTAGTATCAAGTTCCACGACTATCTTAAGGAATGTGGAATTGTTTCACAATTGACGCCTCCTAGGACACCACAACTTAATGGTGTGGCTAAGAGGCGTAATCGAACCTTGTTGGACATGGTTCGTTCCATGATGATTCGAGCTTTACTACCAATCTCATTATAGGGGTATGCCTTAGAGACTACCGCCCATATCCGTAATCTAGTCCTAACTAAAAAGGTTACCAAAACACCTCACGAAATATAGACGGGGAAGGTTCCCTCATTGGCACACATCAAGGTTTGGGGTTGTGAAGCTTTCGTAAGATGAGAGACTCACGACAAGCTTGAACCTCGAAGTGAGCGGTGTATTTTCATCGGCTACCCACATAAATTCTTTGGATATCTTTTCTACAAACCTAGTGACAACGTGGTCTTCATAGCAAGAAGATGAGTTTTCCGCGAGAGGGAACTCATATGCCAAGAGGACAGTGGGAGGACGATTGATCTTGAAGAGATTCAAGAATCAAGCGGTGAAGGAACCTCTAACACTAGCGCTCAACCTGAGGAAGAGATTCCTGTTGAACCCATTGGCGATTCATTACCTCTTAGACGTTCCACTCGGGTTAGAATGGCACCAGAGTTTTATGTTTTCCATATTACTACGAATGGTGATACGTTTTATCAGTGATATTACACTAGTAAATTTGGATGAGCCTTCTATCTACAAGGAAGCCATGGCGGGCCTTGAGTCTACCAAATGGAAAGAGGCAATGGACAGCGAGATCCAGTCCATGTAAGACAATCAAGTTTGGAACTTGGTTGACAATGTGTCAGGTCAAAAGAAGACCAACATGGATGGTAAATTACACACGTTCAAGGCACGACTGGTTGCATAGGGCTTTACTCAAACCCCAGGGGGTTGACTATGATGAGACCTTCTTACCAGTGGCCAAGATCAAGTCTATTAGGGTTATGTTAGCCATCGCTGTGTTTCATGATTATGAAATCTGGCAGATGGATGTCAAAACCACTTTCCTTAATGGGAAGCTGGCTGAAGATGTTTACATGTGTCAGCCAGAAGGTTTTGTGGATGCTAAATACCCAATAAAGTGTGCAAGCTTGAGAAATCCATTTATGGATTGAAGAAAGCATCTCGCAGATGGAATCTTTGATTCGATGAGAAAGTCAAAGATTTTGGTTTCTCTAGGAGTGAGGATGAGTCATGTGTATATGTCAAAGCTAGTGGGAGTACTATAGTTAGCTTTCTAGTATTGTATGTCGATGACATACTGCTCATAGGAAATGACGTTCCAACCGTGTATGAGGTTAAATTCTGGCTTGGGAAGTGTTTCGCTATGAAGGATCTAGGGGAAGTTGCTTATATTCTGGGGATAAGGATCTTGAGAAATAGGAGTAAAAGACTAATTGGACTTAGTCAGAGTACTTACTTGGACAAGGTGCTGAAACGTTTTAGCATGGAGAATTCCAAGAAAGGGGAGTTACCTATCCAAAGCAATACCAAGCTGAGTAAGAATCAGAGTCCGAGTACCGATGCTGAGATAGCAGAAACGATTCAAGTGTCATATGCTTCCGCTGTTGGCTCGATCATGTACGCTGTGACATGTAGTCGCCCTGATGTGGCTTTTGCGTTGAGCATGGTAAGTCGATATCAAGGGAACCCAGGTAGAGCTCACTGGATAGCAGTTAAGAACATTCTTAAGTATTTGCGAAGGACTAAGGACTAGGTCCTTGGTGGCGGTAATGACTTGAGAGTGACAGGGTATAGTGATGCCAGTTTTCAGACTGACAGGGATAACTTCCACTCTCAGTCGGGCTGGGTGTTCACTCTGAATGGAGGAGCATTAACTTGTAAAAGTTCCAAGCAGGGGACCATGGCTGATTCAACGTGCGAATCAAAGTACATAGCAGCGAGCGAAGCGTCAAAGGAGGCTATATGGTTGAAGAATTTCATTGGAGACCTTGGAGTTATACCCACCATAAAGGAGCCCATGGAGATATTCTGTGATAATGAAGGTGCGGTTTCCTTCACCAAGGAACCAAGGGATCATGGCAAATCCAGGAACATCGACAGAAAATACCACTTCATCACATATCGGGTAGAAGAAGGACTCCTCGTCGTCAAGAGGGTATCGTCAGAAGAGAATCCTGCAGATCCCCTCAGAAAGGGTCTGAGTAGGATTAAGCACGTTCAACATGCGAGGAGAATTGTTCTGAAGGACAATATTAGTTTTGGTGATTAGATAGATAATTAGAAACTTGTAACAATATAAATGTAATTGACATTTGATGATTAAGTAATGGAAGATTTATTTTTGAGTAAGGTTTACTATCTTTTTTCAATTGTTTATTTTGTGTTTCACTTTTCATGTTTTACTTCCTGAATAATAGGATTGTTCAAACTATCCACAGTCGATCACACTTTGGAAGTAAGTAATGAGGCAAAACTGTCATGAATTGGATTGTAGATTGTCTAAGTGCTTAGACATAGCAAAGGTTTGCTGCAACGTTCATGAGTACTCCTGAAATAGGATTTAAATATTGGATTAAACCCATGCTCATTTGAATTACTTCATGGAATTTATCATGAGTAATTGTAAGATGATAATATCGTATAATCTTTAAACTGATATATATGAGTTGTTGTTTGCGAGTTGGTTGTGCATTGATAATGCGTAAACGCATCAGTAACTTGATGTTATAAAACGTATTGTTGTGTACAATTTGATGAGTGAATAGTACAATCATATAAGTCAAAGTTTATCTTTTCCTTTTTCCCTAACAGGAAAAGTGATATCTTGGGCCCCTCGATGATTTTGTGTTGACTTATGTGTCGGGCCCGGTCAGGACTGAATTGATGTGTTTAATTAAGTTCTATGTCATACAAATCAGAAATCGGGAAACTGTTAGACATTGAGAATGATTCTGTTCCATGTCTTTGTCCACGGGATATCTTGCAGAATGGAGGATCATATGATCCCTTATATAAAGGATGTGTCATTGACTAGGTCAGAGTTCGACAGCGGCTTTAGAAAGCTACGATTACTAATCAGATTCTGAAGTCATACTTGTAGTTATAGTTATTAGACTTATCCAAGTGGGAGACTGTTGGATTATGTGTCTAAGTCCATAACTATAATTGGTATGTACTTGATTTGACAGTAGCATGGTCCTTTTGGGTTGCCTTCACCATAACAACTTGACAGGATGACTTTTGGAGAAAGATGTTAATAAATGATTTATTAATATATTATAAGAATAATATATTAATTAGAAATCATATTATTCAATTAGTATTAATTAGAAATTAATTTGAAATTAATTTTCGGATTAAAGGAACTGACTGAAAGTACGGGGACTGGTTTTGCAAATCAATGATAGTTGCAAAGTTGGGCTGATGGACTCCCTTACATGGGGTGGACGAAATCTATAGGAGGCCCTATAGAATTTCGTCCAAGGCTTCTAGGAAGGAGGTCCATGGACTACTTAAGGCCTAATCAATCAGATTAGGGTTTCCACCTGAAAACCCTAGCAGCCTCAGCTATATAAGGAACCCATTGGCATGTGATTTTCGGCCTATGCATTCTAAGAGAAACCCTAGCCGAAAATTATAGTGTTCTACCCTCTCTCTCTCCCACTCATCCTTTGCTATTGGTGTTTGTGACTCCATTAGAGGTGCAACACTTGAGGCACTAGAGCTTTCAAGAGTCAAGATCATCCAATGAATACTTGTTATTACTATATAACAAGCAAGGTAACATTTTAACACTAGTTTTCATATAGATCTTGAAAATTGTATGCTAGGGTTAGGGTTATTGCTTTGGAACTTCTATTTTCATGTATAACTAGAGAAAAACTTAGATCCAAAGCAATTAGGGTTGCATGAACACATAGGAATGTTGTTATGCTCAAAACCCATCACCTCATTCCTACAAAACTTACTCTTCATTCCATAATGAAGTCATAATCCTATTATAATTCATAATTATATATATATATATATATATATATATATATATATATATATATATATATATATATATGTGTGTGTGTGTGTATGT